TACCAAGCCTTTTATTACACTGCATGCTCCTCCACTGATCTGGGAATCGTTTCTGGATGGGCTGTCTAGAATTGCTTGAGGAGGTGTCGGGACCAGAAAAGGGCGGACTTCTGGAAAGAGCGGCGGCCGTTGTTTCCTGTGCTTGGGCCTCTGGACGTCCATTTCGAACCCCGTGACCATCGAAAGGAAAAAGTCACACGGACGGGGTCGAGAACTACGGGGGGTAAGCGTCGCGAATAAAACACTCCGTCGGAGATCTCATATCCGCCGGCCCCCTTGCGGGGCCATCAGGCTGCGAGGATCAGGCTTGCTGCTCCCTGCTCCAGTTCCAATTTCCAGTGTCCACTATGATAGTTCTACGTTCTGCTTCCTACTGTATATTGTTCAAGTCGCGCCAGGGGGGAACCGAAAAGCACCCTGGTTATTCCTGGGGGGCGCGGGACATTTAAAAATACATGAGAATCACGCCCCGAGGCCATAAACCCTCGTAAAGTACTACATATTCGCGTTCCCGAAGCCATACCACATTGCAAATCATACTATTATCGCGTCCCCGAAGCCAGAATCTTTAGAAAATTATGCAGTGTTCGCGCCCGCGGGGCCCGAATCATACAATGTTCGCGTCACCGAGGCCATCATCCCTTTTAAAGTCTGCAATATTCGCGTCCCCGAGGCCACAAACCCTCATACAGTATACAACAAACCGTCGTAAATTACACAATTTTCGCGCCCCCGCCTCGTAAATTAGGCAATATGTTCGTCGTCGAAAACATAGACCCTCCGACATTACATGAGATTCGCGCCCACACGGCCACGATCCCTCGCGAATTGCGAAATCGTTGCGTCCCCGAGGCCACGATCCTTCTTGAATTACACCAGGTTCGCAACTCCGAGACAACGACCTCTTGTACATTACACAACTTTCGCGCCCCCGAGGCTACGATCCTTCGAAAATTACTACGCAATATTCACGCATGAACCATTTTCCGAGAGAGGGGACCGGCGGCAGGGGGCGAAGCCCTTGCGGTTTACTTCCCAAGCAGCGCTCGCCCAGGAGGGCATATTATGATTGTGGTTCTAACGAGAGCTGCTAACGCTGGCCACATGTTCATTATCTCGGCCCTTTGTCTCAAGTATCCCTGGCCCTGGCGCCTTCTTCGCGATACCGCCTAATCCCTCGGTCGGGGGAGGGGGAGGGGGGGAGGGAGGAGAAGGAGAGGAAGAAAGGGAAGGAGGAGCGGGGAGGCAGGGGAGGATTCTGACGACTAGGGACGCCACTGTGAGGCACTGTCCACGTGCACACTCCTGCACCTGCGGACCTGGTCCCTTGGGACTCGCGCTGAGAAGAGGAGGGCGAGCGGCATGGGCGAAGCGCGGGAGCGAAAGCGAGAGGGGGGAGACGGCAAGGGTGCGGGTGAAAACCGCCGTGCGCGCGGCGCACGGCAAAAGGAAAATCGTGGCCATGAATGGCGACGGCGCCGCAGGCTCATTCGCAGCCTCCGCCTCCTGCTCCACCTTCTGCTCCTCCTCCTCCTCCTCCTCCTCCTCCTCCTCCTCCTCCTCCTCCTCCTCCTCCTCCTCCTCCTCCTCCTCCTCCTCCTCCTCCTCCATTCCTCTTCCATGTAAACAACTTCTCCCTGTCGCACCCCGAAGCCAGCTTTTAAGGGCGGGCCGGGCGTTTCGCCTGAGACTTCCTCACCATGTATGACTCTGGATCTTTAAAAAAAGACAACAGTTTCATAGATGGAGGGCGGGTGGTTTTCTAAATGTGGTTCTCGCATTAGCGCCGCGCATATTCGTTTTCAAACTGTGCAAGAGATTCACGGATTGGGGGCGGCTGGTTTTCAAAATGTGGCTCTCGCCTTAGCGCCGCGCACATTCGTTTTCAAAAATTGCAAGGGCTTTAGGGATTGAGGGCGGTTGGTTTTCAAAGTGTGGCCGTCGCCTTAACAACGCGCACATTCGCTCTCAAGATTTGCAAAAGATTCACGGATGGAGGGCGGGTGGTTTTCAAACTGTGGCTCTCGCCTTAGCGCCTCGCACATTCGTCTTCAACATTTGCAAGAGCTTCACGGATTGAGGGCGGTTCCTTTTCGCGCACTTTTCTATTTATTTCAAAATTAAAACACACACACACACACACACACACACACACACACACATACACACACAAACACACACACACACACAAACAAGCAAAAAACGCAAGAAGCTCACGGATTCCCACGATGAACGTACCAGCAATCGTGTGTTTGGAAGGCTTCATGATTATGCGGCGCCACAGTTATGTTGATTCGCGGTGTTGAAACCCCAAAAATGGCGTTCTGGCACGATTCAAGATCGCCTGGACGCAGCACTCAGGTTGATCCGTGGCGTGGAAATCCCGAGAACAATGTTTTGGCATGCTTCAAGGTCTTCAAGCGGCTGTCTTCCAACGAGGCAGTTCCCTCAATAGACATGAACCGTTGTAGCGTCCGATGAAAGGGGGAGCTTGGGAGGGAGGGTTAATCCAAACATCGTTGATGACTCTTGGGTTTACACTAGTCCTCCTCCTCATCCTCCTCCTCAGCCTGCATTCCTTTTCTTGATGATTAGCTCCCCCATGTCGCATCCCAAAACGTGTCGGTAGGGCGGGCCGGGCATTTCGCCACGGACTTCCTCACCGCTCCTGATCATCAAGCTTGTAATAAAAAAGCTTCAGGGGCAGAGGGGGCATTTCCAAATGTCGCTCTCGCCATAGCGCCGCGCAGATTGCCATAAAAAGTGTGCAACGGATGGAGGGGGCCGCTTTCCGTTATTTGCCTGTCATATCACAACAAGTGCAACATCATGTCAACTCTGAATGGAAGGATACTTAAAGCAACTACATGTCAACACAAGTGCAATATAATCGGCATTATCTTGGTCTTGGGATTCTCCTTTGGTCTCGGACTGAGTATGCTCAACTATTTGGGCACCCCTGGTCCAGTTCGCCCTCAGCGCTTCGGCGTGTGGTTGGCCATCCTCTTCAGGACCTGCCACAACCAACCACACGGGGCAGGCCGACGCTGTCACGAACGACATCCCTGTTTCCTCTGGGACTCCTTCGTACACACCAAAGTTGCCAGAAGATGTCAAGCAAAGTTATTGGAACCTGCTGTTCTGGCCTTCAAAGAAGGGAGGGAACAACTGCCCCCTCTTTCGTGACACCGTCGGCACCTGGCGGACTGGCCGCAGGTGCCCCCTCTTCCCTTGAATGTCTGACCCCCCGCCCCCGTGACCAGAGCACTGACTGGAGCACAGGACGGCGAGCCGATTTCACAGCAGGCATGCCGGAATCTCTCTGCAACACGCGCAGGCATGCCGGAATCTCTCTGACTGATGGGAAAAAGGCTGCGCCGCCGAAGACGAGCTCCTGGAGAGCTTCGGCTGATAACCCGTTATTTGCCTGTCATATCACAACAAATGCAACATCATGTCAACTCTGAATGGAAAGATTCTTAAAGCAACTACATGTCAACACAAGTGCAATATAATCGGCATTACCTTGGTCTTGGGATTCTCCTTTGGTCTCGGACTGAGTATGCTCAACTATTCGGGCACCCCTGGTCCAGTTCGCCCTCAGCGTTTCGGCGTGTGGTTGGCCATCCTCTTCAGGACCTGCCACAACCAACCACACGGGGCAGGCCGACGCTGTCACGAACGACATCCCTGTTTCCTCTGGGACTCCTTCGTACACACCAAAGTTGCCAGGAGATGTCAAGCAAAGTTATTGGAACCTGCTGTTTTGGCCTTCAAAGAAGGGAGGGAACAACTCTTTCAAAATGTGGTTCTCGCCTTGAGACGTGCAACAGCATCAAGGACGGACGACAGGCCGTGTTCAATATGTCGCTCTCGCCCTAGCGCCGCGCAGACTCTTTGTTTTAAAATGCTGCAGCTTCACGGATGGAGGGCGGCTCCTTTTGTAAATGAGGGTCTCGCATTAGGTCCGCGCACACTCGTCTGGAAAAATTGCAACACGTTCACGGATGGAGGGGGGTCGTTTTCAAAATGTGGCTATCGCCTCAGCGCCGCGCGCATTCGTCACACAAGACTGCAACATATTCAAGGATGGACGGGGGTTCGTCTTCAAAATGGTGCTCAACGTAGCGCCGCGCACATTCGTCTTACAAGTTTGTACTGGCGTACGGATGCAAGGCCGTTCCTGTTCAAAGTGGGGCTCTCGCTTAAGCGCCGCGACCAGTCGTCTCAAAGACTTGCAACTTTTGCCCAGGATTGAACACTTGTAATTTTCAGAATGCAGCCTTTGGCAAGGCAACCTGGAGGTCTGTTCTTTTCCAAAATACGGTCTTCGCTTGAGATGTCGTGTATTGTTCAGGCCAGGAAAAAAGTAACACCTGTAGGCAAGGCTGCATGGATCCAGGGCGGCTCTTCTGCAAGCTGGAGCTTTCGCTGGAGACTTGTCGAAGCTCACGGCCACCAGTGCCGAACTCGTGCAAAAGCTACGCAGGTGGGGGGCGCGGTAAGTCCTAGAAAACGGGCGATCTCCCTGGAGACCTCGTTGAACTGCATGGTCAGGAGTTCTCCTCCGTGCTCTGGAGTACGCGTCAGAGAGACGCAAGGCAGTTCCTGCTCCGAGCGGGGCCCTCGCCAAAATGGCAGGCCAAGCTCTGCTGCGCTTCCAAGGGGCGCTTCCTGCAGTTTAGAAGAAGACTTGTAGGGTGCATGAGGAGGGGACTTTGGAAGGGGTGTCTTGCAGGATCGCTGACGCATCCTTAGTTTACTCTGGTCCTCCACCTCTCCCTCCTCGATGTTCTCCCCCTCCTCCTCCTCCTCCTCCTCCTCCTCCTCCTCCTCCTCCTCCTCCTCCTCCTCCTCCTGCTCCTCCTCTCTCCTCCTCCTCCTCCTCCTCCTCCTCCTCTCCTCCTCCTCCTCCTCCTCCTGCTCCTCCTCCTCCTCCTCCTCCTCCTCCTCCTCCTCCTCCTCCTCCTCCTCCTCCTCCTCCTCCTCCTCCTCCTCCTCCTCCCCCTGCTATGTACATGCTGCTCAGAGTCTCGCCCTCAGGTACGCAGGCTCCGGCACGCCTGCGTCCTCCGCGGCGATGGCGCTGTCCGCGGCCACCCTGAAGGCCCACTCGAGGGCCTCGTCGACGTGCCTGACGTAGTGCACCTCCATGCCCTGCAGGACCTTTGCGGGCACGTCCTCCAGCACGTTGCGCTTGTTCGCCAACGGGATGAGGACGTGCTGGACCCCTGCCCTCTGGGCAGCCAGCACCTCTCGGCGGCGCGCGGGGAGGAGGGGGGCATTGGGGGAGGGTCTTGTGGGGAGGCAGGGGGGCTTCTCAGAAGGGCTCGGAGGGCTTCTTGAGAGGGCTTCTCGGAAGCCCGACTCCAGAGACCCTGAATCCAAGAATGTTGTTGACCTTGTCTTCTTTGATTGGCTCACTTCCGCCGCCTTCCGCCAGCCTTCTGACAGCCTTACACCAGCCATCCGCCAGCGGAGCCGCCGCCAGAGGATACCGCTGCTACTCCCCAGCCCTCTCCCAGAGCGCTCTCTGACCTGGACTTCGAGACGAACCTGGCCGTAGCCACGAGGGACGGGCAGCTAGGCATCCAACGATGTGACTTGTCCAATGCGGTCCCGATCGATTCCCCGGGGACAGTTTTGCGTCTCGGACCCAGTTTTGATGGCTCCAGGGCCCGATAATGGGCCCCAGGAGCCGAAATTCAAGAAAAACGCCCGGATTGCAAAAAAATGTCGTCGGAGAGCGAGAGAAGAAAGAGACAGGCAGCGCGAGCAGGAGGAAGAAGAGAAGTGAAGAGGCAGGGAAGAGAAGAGGAGGAGGAGGAGGAGGAGGAGGTAGAGGAGGAGGAGGAGGAGGAGGAGGAGAAGGAGGAGGAGAAAGGAGGGAGACCACAGCGCTCCATTCAAGACGAGAATCGGAGGGTGGGCAATCATGTCGTCGGAGATCTGGGCCTTAACCCCCCCCGTTCTAAGACGAAGCCAGGACGAGGACTCGGGCGTCGCGGCCTTCTCAGAGCGCTCCGGACCGCCCTGGGAGCGTCCTGGAACGCTCCCCAGACATGCGGCAGCCCGATTTTTTCGGGACGGCGTCCCCAGAAGCCCCGGCCCTTTCCCCGGGGCCGGTTTTTCATCCTGCGTCGTTTCCTGACGGCCCGAGGGACCGGCGAGGGCCCCCGAGGCCGAAAATAGCCAAAGACCGCCCGTCCTGATTATTTTACGACGCGATCATGTCTGGGCCTGGAAAGGATTCATCCTCGTCATGGCCCCGTCCGACGTTCTGCGCGCCACCGGGCCTTGTCCCGGATGCCGCCCACGGGCAGCACCTGAGCGACGATCGCAAGCGGGCCTTACGTGAGATGGCACAGCGACCTTACCGCCAGTAGCTTGCGCGAGCCGCTGGCGCGGCACGTCACGTGGGAAACGAGGGCGCTTGCGCGCGACCTTGTTCGGGACGCTTACGCGCCAATGTCAGCGCAGTCGACCCCGTTTGTCTGCGTCTAGGCAAGCGCGTTCCACTACTCGCACAGTAGCCACTCGCAAATGGCCTGGATCCGCCGCGCGGGACCTACGAGTCATGCATCGAAGCAGACATGCATTTGTTGGATATTTGCGAGCACTCCGAGTTTGTTAATAAGCGTCGGGGGGGCGTCACCCCCGCCGACGGCCCCACATCGGCCCCCGTCGCGGACAGCCACTGCGCGCCGAAGGCGCTCCGACCCCCGTCGCGGCGCGACGACGAGGCGAGGTTGACCCGCGTCGGGGGGGTACCCCCCACGCTTAATAAGAAACCCAAGGGAAGCACTTTGCAAGTGGCGGAACGCGCTCGATGAGCGTCGCTCGCCTGGCCCCGGAGGCTGACCTCCCCAGTCACCGCGGTGTCGCTCCGCATGGGGCCGGGGGGCGCCAGCCAGACCATACCAAGCCTTGGGTCGGGCATGTCCCCCTAAAGGCGGATTCTGGACGAAGAATTAAGAAATAGCCCAAAAAGATTCAAGAATTGTCAAAAAATACTAGACAAATCGTCCCCTGACTAATTGTTTGTGTCTTTTCCGATTTCGGTGGGTTCTGGATTCCCAGGTTCCCGGTCGACCTCCTTACCGACCTCTTCATCGATCCCACGATTCATCAAACCGTCCACCGATTGGAGTTTTTCTCTGGTGTAATTGAATATTCCTCTTGTACTGGGACGACCGTGGAGGTTTCTAAATGGATAATTAGGGGGGTTGCAAGTGGATGCCCAGGTGGGTTATATCTGGCCAACCTGGCTCATAAGTGGGTTACATGTGCCCCGAGGGGCTTAAGGGGTTAACGAGCGCAGTTGTCTAACCCCCCTAAGCCACTCGGGGCACTTGTAGCCCACTTATGAGCCAGGGTGGGCCAGATATAAACCACCTTGGCATCCACTTGTAAACCCCCCTGTCCACTTAGAAACCCCCAACGGTCATCCCAGTACAGGGACGCGCCCTCCTGGCCGGGGCCACCCTGGCCCCAGGACCGGGGCCCGGCGCATCCTTCTGGCCGAGCCAGGAGGGCGTGCACACGGCAGACGCATGCGATGCGCAGAGACTTGCGGCAAGAAGCTGTGGGTCCTCAACAAGAATCGCGTCGGAAGAAAATCCCAGACGTGTTCCCAGACATGATCGCGTCGTGAAAGCATCAGGGCGGGCGATTTTGGCCTATTCTTGGCCTCGGGGGGCCCTCGCGGGTCCCCGGGGCCGTCCAAAAGCGACACAGGATGAAAAACCGGCCCTGTGGAAAGGGCCGGGACTTTCGGGGACGCCGTCCTGAAAAAATCAGGACGTCGCATGTCTGGGTTGCTTCCATCGTACTGAAGGGCCACATTCCAGAAATAGTTTCGAGCATCCAGAAGGGTATCGAAACAGCGTCTGCCCGACACGCTGCGGCAATCGCCTCCCAGGGCCCCACACGAGAAAGCCCTCGAGTTTCGCTACTGTCCTGGTGATCGAAAGTCTTTCTGGTGGTCCAGGCTAACGTAGGTCGGAACATCAGAAGCCTCGGGGCACGTGATTCGTCGATCGCTCAGGGTCGAGAGGCGCCACAAAGCTTCTGCGAGTCCCTGCGGCCCATCGGGGGATCACAAACTGCCGTAGAGCTGCCAGGCCAGTGCCTTACTTCCTGCGCATACCGTACCAGGGCGAAGCCAGGACCGCAACGGAATCGGACCGGGACACGTCGGGGACCTCTGAGACTGAGCATTTTCTTAGGGTGGAGGGCTCAGGATGAAATCCATATGGGCTTCTGCACCTCGAAAATCAATCCGTCTTGTGGCTCACCTCTTGCAGATTCAGGCCTCGAAGATCCATCGAAACGGCATTTCAGATTTCACCCTTTGCCCTCCACCCAAAGAAAATGCTCGGTGAGACCTGGCGGCCCTGGAGGATGCATCGGGCGCCGCGGCCTTTTCACAGCGCTCTGGAACGCTCCGAGGGCGTTCCGGGACGCTGTGCCACGAACTGCCCCTGGCCTGGCCCCGCCCGCTGTGCCCCGATCCTGGGCCCAAATGGGGGCCCACCAGAGGGCCGGTGGGAGGGGGAGGGGGAGGGGGAGGGAGAGGGAGAGGGAGAGGGAGAGGGGGAGGGAGAGGGAGAGGGAGAGGGAGAGGGAGAGGGAGAGGGAGAGGGAGAGGGAGAGGGAGAGGGAGAGGGAGGGAGGGAGGGTGGGCGACCAGCTGGCGTCCCCCGGGCTGGGGCGGTTCAGCCACAGAGAGGCCAGGGCCAGCAGCACCGCCACGCCCGCCGAGGGCCCGTCCTTCGGGATGCCTCCGGCGGGGAAGTGCACGTGGATGTCCTCGCCCGAGAAGAGAGGCCCGACCTCGCCCAGGACGTCGCCCCGCCCCGCGTCCACGCGGACGAAGCGGCTCCTCACAGAGGAGCCCCAAAAGATAATCTCAGGCACCAAGAAAACAAAGACAGGCAAGAACCAAGCAACCACATACCAAGCAAAAAACACACAGCAAAAGAGGCCAGGCACAAACTCTCGGAGCTCCGCCTGGACGTCTTGGATCGGCGCCAGACTCCCCTCCCTGGCGCGCGGAGCACCCCTGGCGGCGCTGGAGGCGCCGCGCCTGGGGGGTCCAGGGCAGGTCCAAGAGATCCACGCGGAGCTCCGAAACTTCATGTCTGTGCCATTTGTTTGATTGTTTTTTCCTCGCCGGCGCAGTGACTCTGCCTAGCCTTAGGTCGGGCGTGTCCCCCTGCAGGCGGATTTTGGAAGAACATGAAGATTGTCAAAAAATACCCCAAACATGCTCAAAAATACCCCAAACATCGTCCCCTGACGATTCTTCGACTACTTTTGAACAGGCCTCCTGCAGAGGAACAGGCCCGACTTGAGCCTGGCCGCCGACGCAAAGGTTTGTACAATTTGCTGCTCACCGATCCTCAGGAGCGACAGGGCGGTCTCGACGCTCTCGGCCATGACCTTGCCGAGCTGCCCCGTGACCGTGAGCCGGTTGGCGCCCCTGCTCCGGGTGGCCTCGACGAAGAGCAGCTGGCCGCCGGTCGCCGACACGCTGAGGCCCATGGCCACCCCGACCACCAGCCTCTCCGCGATGTCCAGCTCGAACATCTCGCTACCGATGATGTACGGCAGGTGCTGCGCGTCCACCGTGATGAGGCCCTCCTCGTCGGGCCCGCAGGCGGACAGGGCTTCCTCCGGAAGGGAGGGAGAGCGGCACGGGCGTCTGCGCACGGGCGGGGGGGGACGCGCGCCGATCCCCCGGGGGGATGGGGGCGGGCGCGTGGCGGTATCATCCTCGAGTGGTGACGGGGCTGTGGAGGCCTGCCGAGCGTGCACGTCCGAAGGAGCTCGTCGGAGGGGGGAGGAGGAGGGAGGAGGCCAAGGAGGAGCAGGAGGAGCAGGAGGAGCAGGAGGAGGAGCAGGAGGAGCAGGAGGAGGAGCGAGGAGTGAGGATTGTGAAGATGGACGAAGGCTGGAGGAGGGGAGAAGGGGGGTGAAGGCGGAGGGGGGGGAGGGGGGAAAGCGGAGGAGGCTGGGGACCGGAGGTCGACTGGCGGGCAAGACGAGACGGCTCTCCTACGGAGGCGCCCCGGAGGCACGAACTCGGGAGGTTCGCGGCCGAGGCTCGCGAGGAGTGCGGCGCGTCCAGCCTGGGGCCGCGAGAGTGGCAGAGGAAAGAACGTTCCTCGGCATGCGGAGAAACGAAGCACACGCATCACGTCTGGAATCCTGTTATTTCATACATAAAAGATAGTCAATGATGGCCAAATGCTGGTGCGAACTGACTCCGCGAAACGCCCGCGATTCTACTGCAGAAAAAAACCGTATATCAGCGAATTCGTCACGAAAAGGGTCGACGACCTGCAAACTTTCCTCGGTCCACACGTTGCAGAATATTCTAGAGGACCGTACGGATGGCAACGCTGTGGTTGGAAAATTTGAGTGAGAGAGCCCACGTGAGATGCTGCGGTTAGCTGCGATTGCAAGCCTCTGATGGAAAGTGCTATGGGCGTCCACCCGCTTACCGATGGTTCCTTGCAGCCTGGTTTCAGACGGTTTCTGCGGAGTCTAGCTAATCTCGTCTTGAGGGAATGTTACCTATGCAGTCACATGTCGACCCGATCTTGTGGCGCAGCCTCGACTCCGACAAGATCGTCGACCACATCGTGAACGTGACCATGGATACTCAACCCTGGGAAAAGTTCTCTCGTCCAGCCGATCCGCACACGGACCTGACAGAGGCAAATTTCGTCATGCACTGCGACGGGGGCACGCGTGTTGGAACATGCTCTGCTGCAGCGTGGGTGCTGGAAGCAACGCGCAGACACATACTTGGCGAGAAAGTGCCTCAGCATGGCAGAGCCGATATCTACATTCACGGCGGAATTGAGAGCATTGGATGACTGCGTTGGCTGACTCGAGCGACTATGTTCTACACGTCGCACTTCACATCGGCTGTCCAAGCTGGGGACTTAGCTGGGACGAAAGACAGAAATAGGAGGAGGAGGACAAAAAGAAGAAAAGGTGGAGAAAAGTTAGATGGATGACGGAGGGGGTGGAGGAGGAGGAGGAGGAGGAGGAGTAGGAGGAGGAGGAGGACGAGGAGGAGAAGGAGGACCAGAGTAAACCCAAGAGTCATCAGTTGGAATTAACCCTCCCTCCAAGCACCCTCTTCATAGGCCCCTACAACGGATTATTTCCATTGAGGGAGCTGCCTCGTTGGAAGACAACCGTTTGAAGATCCTGAAGCATGCCAAAACATTGTTCTCGGGATTTCAACGCCACGTATCAACCTGACTGCTGCGTCTTGACGATCCGGAATCGTGCCAGAGCGCTATTTTGGGGATTCCAACACCGCGATTCAACATAACTGTTGCACCCGCATAATCCTGAATCGTTTCAAAACACCAGCTCTGGTACGTTGATCATGGGAATCCGTGAAACTCATGCAAAGTAAGAGAACGAATGTGCGCGGCGCTAAGGCGAGACTTATATCTTGAAAACGACCCGCCCTCAATCCGTGAAACTTCTGCAAATTCTAAAACGAATGTGCGCGGCGCTAAGGCGAGAGCCACCTCTTGAAAACGACCTGCCCTCAATATGTGAAACTCTTGCAAAAATTTAAAGCGAATGTGCGCGGCGATAAGGCGAGACCTACACCTTGAAAACGATCCGCCCTCAATCCGTGAAATGTCTGCAAAGTTTTGAAACGAATGTGCGCGGCGCTAAGGCGAGAGCTACATTCTGAAAAACAGCCCGCCCTCAATCTGTGATACTCTTGCAATGTTTGTTGGAACAAATGCGCGCTGCGCTAAGGCGAGAGCCACATTTTGAAAACGGCCCGCCCTCAATCCGTGAAACTCTTGCCAAATGTTTAAAACGAGTGTGCGCGGCGCTAAGGCGAGAGCCTCATCTTGAAAACGACCCGCCCTCAATCCGTGAAACTGTTGTCACATTTTAAGCTTCAGGGTCATAGATGATGAGGATGTATCAGGCGAAACGCCCGGCCCGTCCTAAAAACTGGCCTCGGGGTGCGATAGGGAGAAGTTATCTATACGGAGGAGGAATGGAGGAGGAGGAGGAGGAGGAGGAGGAGGAGGAGGAAGAGGAGGAGGAGGAGGAGGAGGAGGAGGAGGAGGAGGAGGAGGAGGAGGAGGGGGGGGGGAGGAGGAGAAAAAGGAGAAAGAGGAGGAGGAGGAGGACAAGGAGGAGGACGAGAACGAGGAGAAGGAGGAGCAGGAGGAGGAGGAGAACAAGGAGGAAGAGAAGGAAGACTAAGAGGAGGAGTGGGAGGAGGAGGAGGAGGCGGAGGAGGAGCAAGAAGAAAAGGAGGACGAGGAGGACGAGGTGGAGGAGTAAGTTGAGGAGGACTAGGAGGAGGAGTGGGAGCAGGAGGAGGAGGAGAAGGTGAAGGAAGAGGAGGAGGAGGAAGAGGAGGAGGAGGAGGACGACGAGGACGGAGACTACGACGACGGTCCTCCTGCGCGTGGTCGCGCTCGGTGCCCGCGTGCAGCGGCAGGTTGACGCCCTGCAGCCGCAGGGCGGCCCACCGGCAGATCTGCGCGAGCCGGCGCTCCAGGCCGCGCACGCCGCTCTCGGAGGTCCATCTTGGAGGGAAGAGATATCGCAAACCTAGCGGTTGACACCAACACCAATATCGACGGTGTGCCGCCACCGAAGGAAGAAGATCCCGATCTCGGTGATGGTGGTAATAATTCTGGCTTCCAAGGTGGCCGAAATATTACCACCAAGACCGAAATCTAGGATCATCTTCCCCCTGTGGAGGGAAACCCCTGTGTTGGTGTTGGTGCCCATTTCCAAGCCTCCAAAGATACCCATCGGTCGGAAGAAGTAGGTAGAAACCTGAAGTAGAAAGGCGTTGAAAGTAGATTGGGTGTCCGCCCGCCCCCTGAAGAGGACGACAAAGGTGGAGACACTCGATCATTGAAGCAGGAAGGCGCTTAAAGTAGATTGAAATCTGGGAGTCTGGAACCTTGGAGGGAAGAGATACTCCGGGTTCCTCATGATGCATGGGGGGGTACCCCCCCGACAGGGGTCAACCTCGCCTCGTCGTCGCGCCGCGACGGGGGTCGGAACGCCTTCGGCGCGCAGTGGCTGCCCGCGATGGGGGCCGATGTGGGGCCGTCGGCGGGGGTGACGCCCCCCCCCGACGCTGACTAAGCAACTCGGAGTACCGTCACTTCGGGCGTGTCCTCCTACAGGGGAGATTGGACGAAAAATAACAGATAGTCAAAAAGTACTTCCAAGATTGCCAACATCAAAAAACGAAACATCGCCCCCAGACTATTCTTGGACTGTTTTGGAAGATTCCTCCCTGTAGAGGGACAGGCCCGACTCAAGCCAAGACTCAACGCGGCGAGGGGCGCTGTGCGGCAGCGGGCCAACGGTCCGAGATCACGGCGCCCCCCCCTCCCTGGCGCTTCTCGCAGGCCTCCTCCGGGAGGCTCCTCCTCCTCCTCTTCCTCCTCCTCCTCCTCCTCTTCTTCTTAGTATTATTATTCTTATTATTATTACTACTATTATTAGTATGATTATTAGTAGTAGTATTATTATTAATCTTATTATTATTATTCTTGTTATTATTATTATTATTCTTATTATTCTTATTATTATTCTTATTATAATTCTTATTATTATTCTTATTATTCTTATTCTTATTATTAATATTATTATTATTATGATTATTATTATTATTGTTATTACTCTTATGATGATTATGATTATTATTATTAGTAGTTTATATTATTAACATTATTACTATTATTATTATTATTATTCCTCTTCCTCTTCCTCTTCCTCCTCCTCCTCCTCATCATCATCCTCCTCCTCCTCCTCCTCCCCCTCCCCCTCCTCCTCCAGGACCCCCGCCTCGAAGCACTGGTCGGGAGGGCCCCCCTCCCGGAGGGCTCCCGGGGACCGGTCGTGACCGAGTCCACGCCAACGGCGGTTTGCTGGACAGGACGTTGGGAACCAACTTGTAGGCCTCCCCCGGGAGGCTCCTCGTCGCCGCGGCCAGGGCCCCCGCCTCGACGCACTGGTCGGGAGGGCCCCTCCCGGAGGGGTCCCGGGGACCGGTCGTGACCCAGGCCACGCCGACGGCGGCGTTGCTGAACGGTGATGCGTTGGGAGGTAGCTTGTTGTTTTTGTTTCCCCCGAGAGCGATGAAGACTGCAGGCTTCTCCACTGACGGGAAGGAGACTCCGCCAAGCAGAAACTGTTGTGCATCCGCCCTCGGCTGCCGAGCCAACCAAAAGACGCGTCACGAAGATCGGCCCCTAATAGCAAGCCTGTCCCGGCCGCGAGCGTTGGGAGGTAACTTCTAGGAGGTCACGGTCCACCGTGCCCTGCACACTGCCACTATGCAGAGGCAGCGAGCGAAAGCGGCACAGCGAAGTGCAGGAAGGCACGAGCCGCGCGCCCCCACGATACTGGAGCCCGCATCGCCGTCGCCTACATCGCCGTCAGCGTGTCTGCGGCGTGAGCGGAGCTGGGCTGGGCGGGGGAGCCGCGGGTGCCTCCACTGGGGCCCCGCGAGACGGAACGCTGGCACGTCGGTGCAGATCAGGGCTGGACCTCAACGTTGTTTTTCGTTATTTGTTCGTTTTGTTTTCCGTTTTGTTTGTTCATTGTTCTTTGTTCGTTGTTTGTTATTTGTTCGTGTTCGTTTTGTTCTTTGTTCGTTTGGTTCGTTTTGTTTTGTTGGCTGTTTTTCGTTATTTGTTTCCCTGTACCTCCCTGCCAAAACGAAAAACAACACCCAGCCGAAGTCCAGCAAAACAGCGTTTAGGTCCAGCCCTGGTCCAGCCTTGGTCACCGCCGGCGACGGCCAGCATGCACCATGACCAAGATCGGCGTCGACAAGATCCCGCGAAACCTTGGTCATGGTCATGGTGTTCCTTCCCTCGACACCTGAGCGACGAAACGATGTCACAGTAACCTCATGCACGATGACACAGCGATCTTACGCGGTGGCTTACGCGGGCCGCCAGCGCGGCACGCCAGACGCCAGCTTGAAAACGAGGGTTCTTTCGCACCATCTTACGCAGGCAGCTTACAGGCGAATGTCCACGCACGCCGCTCTCGGAGGTCCACCAGAGCGACGAGAAGATAGCATAGCGACCTTATGCACGATGACACAGCGACCTTACGCGGTGGCTTACGCAGGCCACCAACGCGACGGGCTACGTGGAAGGCAGAACGCCCACGTGCGACCTTAAGCAGACAGCTTACACAGGAATGTCCGCGCAATCGACCTCGTTATTCTACGACGCCCACACGTCGGTGCTGGTCTCGGTCACCGTCCATCTTGGCCACCTGCCGACTTGTGGACCACCCTCGGGAATCGGCGACGGCTGGCTTGGCCCATGACCAAGATCGTTGTCGACAAGACCGCGACATCTTGGTCATGGTCATCGTCTTTCTTCCCTGAGATCCGATATCACGAAAAAACAGCATCGCTTCAAATCACGACTGGAGCCCCAGACTCCATCTTTCTGCGGGCTTTTCGGGCCACATCGATCCGAAACTGGGCGAGAACGCTCGAAGGCAAACTGGAACTTCATATTTGCTCTTTTCCCCAACCGAGCAATGCGACGCCCGGATCTCAGGGTCTCCCCATCGACGCCTGCCGATGATGCCCAGGACCGCGTCCTGCGTGACGTGCAGCCTCGGCGGGAGCTCCGCGGCTGCGCCGAGCGGCTCCAGCGCCACCGCGGGCAGGTCCTCGCCGCCCTCCCCCGCGCCTCCCGGCCGCGGCGGCTCGAGGGCGTGCAGGCGGCGCTGCTTCGGCAGGAGGTGCGAGGCTGTGATGGACATCTTCTCCTCCCCCGCCAGGAGGAGGCACAAGGGCGAAGGAGGAGGAGGAGGAGGAGGCGGAGGAGGAACCGGAGGAGGAGGAGGAGGAGGAGGAATCGGAATCGGAGGAGGAGGAGGAGGAGGACATCTTCTCCTCATCTCTGCAGCGCACTACGTCTGGGAGGGGGAGATGTAAGACGAGGCCAGGACGAGGACAAAGTCGGGAGAGGATGCGTCGAGAACTTATGAGATCCCGCGGCACTGGAGGATGTCTCGGGCGCCGCGGCCTTCTCAGAAACAGATCTATCCTCGTCCTAGCCCCATCCGAGAGAAGGAGGAGAGCTGAGGGGACGAGCGGCAACCAAGCAACGAGTCGTCACACGAGCGTGAGAGACTGCAGCGATCTGGCGGAGCGCTTAGCAGCGAGGTTGAAATATGGAAAAATCCGAGCAGGGACCCGCGACCCTGTAATCCGGATCATGACGGGCCGTCGAAACGTGTAATGCAGAAACAACAAGTGCAGAAACACATTTTCTCCTCCCCAGACAATGCTCGCGGCGTGAGCAAAAAAACACGGCCGAAGGTCTTGGACCCTTGTCAGCCTCCAGGGACCTTCGCCGCCCCAGGGCCGTGGCGAAGGGCCCAACCATATGCACCTGGGAGTATCGCCGTTGTGGGTATCGTCTTCGCTGGATCTTCTCATGGGGCCACGAAGCGTGTAAAAGGGTGTGCCGAAATGAGCGGGGCCGCCATGTGAACGTCGCCACTGGGGCCCTCGGTGGAGCTTCGTATGAGGCCACGAAACGCCGTACTGTGTGGAAAAGACGCATGCGAACACCGCCACTGACACCTTCGGTGGAGCTCCCTATAGGGCCACGAAGCGGCGTACTGGGTGCGGGAGACGCATGCGAACACCGCCACTGACACCTTTGGTGGAGCTCCCTATAGGGCCACGAAGCGCCGTACTGGGTGCGGGAGACGCATGCGAACACCGCCACTGACACCTTCGGTGGAGCTCCCTATGGGGCCACGAAGCGCTGTACTTGGCGGGGGAGACGCATGCGAACACCGCCACTGGAGCTGTCGGTGGAGCTCCCTATGGGGCCACGAAGCGCCGTACTGGGTTGACACCGCCACTGAGACCTTCGGTGGACCTCCCCATGGGGCCACGAAGCGCCGTACTGGGTGGGGGAAACGCATGCGAACACCGCCGCTGAGGCCTTCGGTGGAGCTCCCTGTGAGGCCACGAAACGCTGTACTGGGTGGGGGGGAGACGCATGCGAACACCGCCTCTGGAGCCTTCGGTGGAGCTCCCTATGGGGCCACGAAGTGCCGTACTGGGCGGGGGAGACGCATGCGAAGACTGCCACAGAGGCCTTCGGTGGAGTGGAATTCCCTATGGGGCCACAAAACCCTGTACTGGGTGGGGGGCTCACATGCACCGCCACTGGGGCCTTCGGTGGAGCTCCCTCTGGGGCCACGGAACGTGTGGGGAGTGTGCCAAAGTGGAGGGGGGCGGCATGCGAATCATGCCACTGAGGCCTTCGGAGGAGCTCGCACGAAACGTGTGGGGGGGTGACAAAGTGGCGGGGTGGGACCGGCATGCGAATCATGCCACTGGGGCCTTCGGTGGAGCTCCCGATAGGGCCACGAAACAGGTGAGGGCTGTAGCAAAGCGGAGGGGGAGACGCATGCGAACACCGCCACCGGGGCCTTCGGTGGAGCTCCCCATGGGGCCACGAAACGTGTGAGGGGTGTGCCAAAGTGAAGGGGGGCCGGCATGCGAATCATGCCACTGGAGCCTTCTGCGGAGGAGCCACGATGCGTCTGAGGGGTGTGCCAAAGTGGAGAGGGGGCGGCATGCGAATCATGCAACTGGGGCCTTCGGTGGAGCTCTCCATGGGGCTACGAAACGTGTGAGGGGTGTGCCGAAGTGAGGGGAGTGACGGGAGGAGGGAGGAGCGGGAGGGAGAGGAGAGAGGAGAGGAGAGGAGAGGAGAGGAGAGGAGAGGAGAGGAGAGGAGAGGAGAGGAGAGGAGAGGAGAGGAGAGGAGAGGAGAGGAGAGGAGAGGAGAGAGGAGAGGAGAGGAGAGGAGAGGAGAGGAGAGGAGAGGAGAGGAGGACGCGCGGCACCGTCTCTTCAAAACGAAGACCCAACACCACAGGATGGTTGGGATAAAAAGCTCAGGATGAAGCACTTGCCACTGGGAAAGGCTCTGGGCTTCTGGGGACCCCGTATTGGAAGAAAAGTATGATGTCTGGCTCAAGGATTACGCGAACTATACACCTACCCTGATCCTGGCTGGTCCCATCCTAGGCCCAGAATGGGTGTACACGCCATCCTGGCTAGGCGGGCAGGGCATCCACACCGATCCTGGAGCCCATGGGCCTGGCCGGAATCGGTGTAGGTGTAATTGACGCAGACCGATCCTCTGGGGTGTACCCTGAGAGCTCGAGGATCTCCATGCGGTCCAGCAGTGGGCGGTCGATGAGCGAGGTGTCGTTGGCGGTGCAGATGAACAGGACCTTGGAGAGGTCGAACGGCATATTCAGGTAGTGGTCCTTGAACGTGCTGTTCTGCTCGGGATCCAAGATCTCCAGAAGAGTGGCCTGCGGGTTGAACATAGAGTTTTGAGACATCTTGTCCACCTCATCCAAGAGGATGACCGGGTTGTTCACAGAAAGGGCTTGGAATGCCTGAATGATGACTCCTGGCATGCTGCCGATGTAAGTCCGCCTGTGACCACGCAGCTCGGCCTCGTCGCGAACCCCTCCCAGAGCGATCCTGTGGAACTTCCTGCCCATGGCACGCGAAATGGAACGGCCCAAAGATGTCTTCCCGATTCCTGGAGGGCCGTGGAGACAGAGGATTGGGCCCTGCATATTCCCGCGCATCTTCTGCACAGCGAGAAACTCGAGAATCCGGACCTTGACCTTGTCCAATCCGCGGTGGTCATCGTCGAGGACGGAGCGTGCGTGGGCGAGATCGAAGCAGTCTTCGGAGCTCGTCTGCCACGGCAGTACCGACAACAGCTCAAGGTATGAGTGGGTGATCGTGTACTCCGGATGCTGCGGCTGGATGCCCTTCAGCCGCCGGAGCTCCTTCTTGGCCACACGCAGTGCGTCTGGGGGGAGGCCCGCCTTGGCTATCTTGTCGCTAAGGCGGTTCACTTCGTCCTCTTCCTCTTCGCCATCGCTGTTCCCCAAGTCATCCTCGGCGCCCTCCCTGCTAGGATCCCCGGCCTCCCGCTGCACTCTCACGCGGACGCGGCGCAGATCCTTCTGCACCTCCTGGATCTGCCGCTGCAGCACCACCCTCTTCAGCTCCTGCTCGCGCGTCTTCTGGATCCCCGCGTTGATCTCGCCGGAGATTCTCCTTGCCTCCGACTCTCGCTGGACCAGCTCGAGCACGTACTCCAGACGCTCCTCATGGGCATGAGGCAAGCAGGTCCTGAGGGAAACGGGCCCTGGACTCCGGGAGATTCTTCCCCCGGGACCAGCTCTTGATCCCGAATCGTTTTGTTGGGGCATCCCGGAGCTCGTGGAGGGCCACGTGAGCCCGAGAACGGCGAAGGGCCTCGGCGCCCGCTTCCCCCAGGGACCCCTCTCATCCATGGGTCATCTGGGCTTCCGACCACAGCTCGGATCTCGGGACTCCAGCGGCCGCTCAGGACGACGGCCGAAAATCTCCGAGCCCAGTCCCTCGTGGCGAGGAGGAGGGCCCGTTGCCTCCATGGCGCGACCGGGACCCGTGTGCTCGGAGGCCTCCGACCCTCCTCATCCTCCTCCTCCTCCTCCTCCTCCTCCTCCTCCTCCTCCTCCCCCTCCTCCTCCTCCTCCTCCTCCTCCTCCTCCTCCTCCTCCTCCTCCTCCTCCTCCTCCTCCTCCTCCTCCTCCTCTGACAGCGGGAGGCCGAGCAGATGGGGTCGGAGGATCGTGCCGCATCGCCAGTGCATCGGCGACGCGTCGGCAACGTCGACGTGGAGAAAGCTGGGATCCACATCCAGCCGCATCGCAGATGCATGGGCGATGCGGCGCGATCTTTCGACCCTATCTGCTCTGGGAGGCCTTGGATTTTTCGGGATGCCGAAGACTAGAACTCGACCCTCTGCCGGAAGAGTGGGGCGATGTCTGCCTCTTGGGAACCGGGCCTCTCGACGCCGCCTGAGGGCCACTCGGGGGCACCCGAGGCCGTGTTGAGGCCATCTTCTCCTCCTCCTCCTCCTCCTCCTCCTCCTCCTCCTCCTCCTCTCCTCCCCCCCTCCCCCCTGCTCCTCCTCCTCCCTCCTCCTCCCCCTCCTCCCCTGCTCCTCCTCCTCGTGCTCGTGCTCCTCCTCTCCTCCTCCTCCTCCTCCTCCTGCTCCTCCTCCTCCTCCTCCTATTCTCCTCCTCCTCCTCCTCCTCCTCCTCCTCCTCCTCCTCCTCCTCCTCCCCCTCCTCCTTCCCCACCTCCTTCTCTCCTCTTTCCCTCCTTCCCTACCTCCTCCTCCTCCTCCTCCTCCTCCTCCTCCTCCTCCTCCTCCTCCTCCTCCTCCTCCTCCTCCTCCTCCTCCTCCTCCGGAAGCCATCTGGCCGCGCTCCCTGACGCCTCGCAAAACCAGGAGCGGGACCCGGAGCGGGGGAGCAGAATCCAAATCGGGATCGGGATCGGGATCGAGACGGATCGGGGTCGGATCACCCCGACGCACTCGTCATCGCCATCGCCCTTGTCGTCGTCGTCGTCGTCGCCGTCGCCGCCAAAGTAATCGTCGTCGTCGTCGTCGTCGTCGTCGTCGTCGGCGCCTTGACGCCTCGTAGGTCCAGGATGCGCTGCCGCTCGGCCACCGGCACCTGCCCCAGGGGGGAAGGAGGGAGGAGGAGGAGGAGGAGGAGGAGGAGGAGGAGGAGGAGGAGGAGGAGGAGAGGAGGAGGAGGGAGGAGGAGGAGGAGGAGGAGGAGGAGAGAGGAGGAGGAGGAGGAAGGAGCAGCAAGAGGAGGGGAAAGAGGAGGAGGAGAAGGAGAAGGAGGAGGAGGAGGAGGAGGAGGAGGGAGGAGGAGGAAGGGAAAGAGGAGGAGGAGGAGGAGGAGGAGGAGGAGGGAGGTGGTAGGGAAGGAGGAAGAGGAGGTGGTGGGGAAGGAGGAGGAGGAGGAGGAGGAGGAGGAGGAGGAGGAGGCGCTGCCGCACCTGCCCCAGTGTGGCCCCGGCGACGCCGACGAGGCCTGCGGCCGAGGAGGGCAGGCGGAGCTGGCGCGCCCGGCCGCCCTCGGGGCCTCGGGGCGGGGCGGGGCGCCCTCGGCCCGCGAGCATCCCGCGATCCTCCCGCGAGCCTCCCTCGATCCTCCCTCGATCCTCGATGCTCCTCGATCCTCCACGATCCTCCTCGATCCTCCTCGATCATACTCGATCCTCCTCGATGCTCCTCGATCCTCCCGCTCCTCCTCGACCCTCCTCGATGCTCCTCGATCTCCCTCGACCTCGATCCTCGCTCCTCGATCCTCGAACACCTCAGGCTAAGAGCATGGACTTCGCTCGCAGCGTTTTCTCAGTCAGCAGTCCAGGTCTAGACACACGACAATTCTACGAGGGGATCAGCGCCAAGGAAACGCGCAGGGCCCTGTCAAGATTTCTGATTTTATTGAACGAAATCTGGAGCCCATCAGAATGGATGTGTGTCTTAATATTTTTGATGGTGAAAATGATTTCAAACACGCTGGGTCTTTTGTTCAAGATCGGCATTGCTTGCCGGTTTGGGGTCCGGTGTTTTCCCGTTCCGTGATTGTCGTTCGTGCCGTCTTCGGTTTGGTTCCGTGCTGTACTGCCGTTTCCCCCCGTTGCGGTTGCCTGGAACCGAAAACTTGAAAACGCACAAATGCCCACTGCGCATTAACATCAACTAAGCCCACGTCCACGAGCATCGAGGCCCTGGGTTCCTCCTCATGACATCCTCGCGCCGCGAATCCAAAAAATCAAGAATCTAGGTCCGAAGGCTTCGGGCGCTCTCGCCGGTTCCCAAAAGCTTGTCCCTGCCCTGGGATGCTCTCCTGCAGGTGCGCCTCGCCAAGGGCGTTCCAAGGGTGCCTGGATCCTCCCGACCGACGCCCGAGTTTTGCCCCCCAATACCAAAAAGGTTCGCGTCGTGACTAATCGCGACGGGACGTTTTTGGTCTTTCCCAGTCCCCGCAGGCCCCCGCCAGGCCAAGGGAGACGCCAGATGCCCGGGTCCGTCGCGGCCCCCTGGGATGCGGGGCGCCTCGGCGCGGGTGCCCCGCGCAAGGGGGCGCATCCGCGGGACCGCGCACCCGCGGGGCCGCGCCCTGGTGGCCCAGGGCCCGCGAGGGCACAAGAGATATTCGTCCTCCTCGTCCTCCCCCTCCTTCTCCACCTCCTCCTCCTCCTCCTCCTCCTCCTCCTCCTCCTCCTCCTCCTCCTCCTCCTCCTCCTCCTCCTCCTCCTCCTCCTCCTCCTCCTCCTCCTCCTCCTCCATCCTACGGAGGTGGACACGGATCGGGTTCGCGTCGTGGCGGCGTCGGCGCTGGTCTCTGACAAAGCGCGAGGCGCTCGACATGGAGCGCTCGCGGCTGCCCGACAGCGCCGACCGCCCGATGTCGGCCGGTTCCAGGCCGCCGCCAGCGTTCGGCCCTCAACGCCCGCGCCAGGGTCGCCGCCTCGTCGGCACGACACGACCCTGCCGTACCCAGACATGCTCCCCTCTCGTTTGTTCAGTCCGCGGCCCCAGAGGTTCCAACCTCCTTCCCCAGGGGCAGCCTTGCGCCATGGGCTCTTCTGTGATGGCCCCAGGGCCCGACAGCGGGCCCCTGGAGGCCGAAAATCGAGGAAATGCGCTCGGCTTGAAAAGAGCACACCGTCGGAGATGCGGGCATGTTCGCCCCTCGCGAGGGGCCGCTCTTCAGCAGCTCGCTCAGCCTCTCCTGTATGTTGCGCATGAGCGCCAGCACCGACACGTCGTGCGCCTGGGCGTCTCGCTCCTCCTCGCGGCGACTCCGAAGGATGTGGTTTGCAGCCCGCGCCTGGGGAAGGCGGGCGAGGACCTCGGCAAAGATCTCTGCCTCGCCCAGACGAGGGCTCAGCAAAGCATTGGCGCCCCTGGAGGGCTCAGCATATTCACTGCCCCTTCTCCTGCTCCTCCTCCTCCTCCTCCTCCTCCTCCTCCTCCTCCTCCTCCTCCTCCTCCTCCTCCTCCTCCTCCTCCTCCTCCTCCTCCTCCTCCTCCTCCTCCTCCTCCTCCTCCTCCGCCACGTCCTCCTCCTCCTCCTCCTCCTCCCCTCCTCCTCCTCCTCCTCCTCCTCCTCCTTTTCCTCCTCCTCCTCCTCCTCTTCCGCCTCCTCCTCCTCCATTCCTTCTCCTTCTCCTTACATGAAACTTCTCCCTGTCGCACCCCGAGGCCATTTTTTAGGGCGGGCCACGCGTTTCGCCTGAGACTTCCTCGCCACTTATGACCCTGAAGCTTCAAAATTAACAACAGCTTCACACATGGAGGGCGGGTGGCTTTCAAAATGTGGCTCTCGCCTTACCCTGTACACATTTGCAAGAGGTTCACGGATTGAAGGCGCATCCTTTTCGAAATGTGGCTCTCGCTTTAGCGCCGCGCACACTTGTTTTAAACATGTCAGGAAGCTCACGGATTAAAGGCGAATCCTTTTCAAAATGTGGTTCTCGCTTTAGCGCCGCGAACATCAGTTTAAAATCCACAAGAGGTTCACGGATTGAGGGCGGCTCCGTCTCAAAATGGGGCTCTCGCCTTAGCGCCGCGTACACTCGTTTTAAACAGTTGCAAGAGCTACACGGATTGAGGGCGGTTCCTTTTCAACATGTGTTTCTCGCCTTAGCGCCGCGCACGTTCTTTTATAAAATTTGCAAGAGTTTCACAGCTTCCGCTGATCAACGAACCAGAAATGGCGATTGAGAAAGACTCAGGGCTACGAGGGTGCAATAGTTATGGGGTGAGGTGCTGAAGTCCCAGGAATGGCCTTCTGGCAGGATTCAGGATCGTCGAGACGCAACAGTCAGGTTGATCCGTGGCGTTGGAATCCCGAGAACAATTTTTTGGCATGTTTCAGGGACATCGACGGGTTGTCTTCCAACGAGGCAGTTCCCTCAGTGGAAATGAACCGTTGCAGGGGCCTATGAAGAGGGAGCTTGGAGGGAGGGTTTATTCCGACATCGTTGATGCCTCTTGGGTTTACAATGGTCCTCCTTCTCCTCCTCCTCCTCCTCCCCCTCCTCCTCCTCCTCCTCCTCCTCCTCCTTCTCCTACTCCTGGCCAGGCCCATCCAGGGCCCTGGAGCGGTGTGTATGCACCCCCGGCCAAGCCAGGGGGGTGTACATACTGTTTCTGGGCACAGTATGGGCTTGGCCAGGGGCAATGGATATGTATAGATCTCGTCACTCGATACGCCCCAACGGCGCCGATCGCCAACGACACCCTGGCGTAACCACACCCGCTGTTGTCGCCGATCCTCGACCAGCCGCACCGTGGCCACGAGCAGCGGGGACGTCTGCTCGAAGCGCTCCACCGTGAACCGGGACCTCCCCTCGACCACAAGCCTGCACATCGATTTCTCGACGGCGTGCTGGACGAGCCTCGGCGCAGGCAGCAACATTGGGCGCTCTTGGAGTCGAGGAATCGAAGGAGTTGGCATCACCTTCGAGAGGAATCTAAGGAGTCGAGGAATCAAGGGAGTCGAGGAATCGAAAGCGTCGAGCGGGCTTCGCCTTCGAGGAGTCGAAGGAATTAGCATCTCTTCCTCGGCAGAACGGCGGTGGAGCGGTGGCGAAAGCCGGCGGCGGCAAGTAAAACAAAGCCGCCTCCGCGGGCGGAAGCCGGCGCGAAGGCTGGCGGAAGTCAAAGGTGGCTTCCCAAGAGATGGCAACTCTGTTGAATCTAGAGTTTCCATCGGCGGCGAGCCAGGGGGGAAGTGAGAAGGAGAAGGTCTTCTGAGAAGGCGGCGGGGCTTCTCAGAAGCTTTCGCGCCTTCTGAAAGTTTGTCTGCGCCTTCGGGGAAGGCTTAGGAAACTTCTCGGAAGGCCAGGGGGCCTCCGAGCCTTCTGTGAAGGCCCGCCCTTGCTCACGACCCCCCAGGCTCGCCGCCGATTCCAGAAGCGGCCATATGGGAGACCCTGATCCTATGTCTGTGTCTCTCGGCGGCTGTAAAAAAGGTCCTGCTTGCTGGCTACCAACCCGGGGCAGCCTGGCCCTGCCGGGACGAAATCTGCAGCTGGAAAGTCACCTCTCCACTTGCATGCTTCGAAGACGCTGGTATGTCGAACCAGATCACGACTGCACGACCCCACCCAAACCGGTCCAAATCTGCAAGAGCCCCAGGACATCTGTGATGGTCCAGGAACTGCGAGCGGGCACGAAAGGACTGCACACACACACACACACACACACACGGAGAACCACTTGCCAAACCAACTCGATCGGCGGCGGGGGTAGGGCTCGGATTTGGTCACTGATCGGAGGGGACAGTTACCCGCGATGCCAGTTATCCGCCAGCATTGGCCCTGGCCAGGCCGACTCTTGGCCCAGCACCAGCGTACGGCAGGTTAGAATCGTGCCGACCCCAGCGTTGGCTCCTGACACCGCGGGGATCGTTCAACCTTGAGCGATCGGCTGGTTCCGAAACGTCCAAATCGTTCCACATCGAACGATTCTGGGTCGCCCGCGGCGTTCAACGTTGAACGCCGCTGACGGGGTCGCCGCTGGTCGACACGACACGAGCCTACCGTACATGTGCGCGCGGGCAGTTTGCAGGGGCGAGAGCGAGGAACACGAGGATCGGGGGCCCCTTCCAGGGCCCCAGCTACGGCCAAAGTCGGCGCGTTTCCCCCAAAGACACCGACCACGGCATCCCCGATATGATTCCAATCGATCGAGATTTCGGCCAACGACCATGTGATTAATTATGCCTCCCTGGCCATGCCAGGGTGACCAATCCACCGATCCCGGGGGACCAATCCACCGATCCCGCGCCCAGGTTCGCCCTGGCTAGCATATGTCGGCGTCCTCGGACCAACGACCGCACAAGAGCTGTCTCCAGACCCATCCCATCCATCCTGCCTCGTTTCCCGAGGGGCGCCCAGCCGTGACGACGAGGGGGGGAGGCCCGAAAGCCACCCCCGGCCCCTCCCAAAAAGGATACCCTGACGCCATGTTTTGACGACGTGGGCCCCTAGATGTCTCGACCTCAGGGCGAGTTTCGCCGACGCGGGTCGGCCCTGCATCGAAGACAGCCCCCGACGTGGAAATTATCCGAGAGCGGTCGTCTTCATCTTTTCGGGACTCCTGGAGGTCTACATCGCCAAAGAGTTCTGCAGGTCCAGAAGTCCGCCTACGTCCCAGGAGGCCTCTGAAGCCCAACTAGACCCTTTAGCCTCTGAGGCCCAACCTCGTACCTCGATCCTCGCAGTCATTGCCGCGCATCTACTTCACACCCGAGCAGGCGAAAAGCAAAGGGAAGGAAAGAAAAGGAAGGAAAACATAGAAGGAGAAAGGAAGGAACGAAAGAAGGAAGACATAAGGGGAGGGGAGGGGAGGGGAGGAGAGGGGAGGCGAGGGGAGGGGAGGGAAGGAGGGGGGAGGAAGGAGAAGGCGGAGGGGAAAGGGGAGGAGGAGGAGAGGAGGAGGAGGAGGAGGCGGAGGAGGAGCAGGAAGAGGAAGAGGAGGAGGAGGGATGAGGAGGAGGAGAAGGCGAAGAAGGGAGGAGAAGGAGGAGGGAGGAGGGAGGAGAGAAGAGGGAGGAGGGAGGAAAAGGGAGGAGAATGACGAGGAGGGGTGAGGAAGAGAAGGAGGAGGACGAATGAGGAGCGGCCAGCAGATCTAGGGGAGCTTTCTTCCTTACCCCCGAGGCAAAATACGTCGTTCTGACAATATCCCGACAGGGGGGCCGAAGTCAGTTGGTCCCCCAGGGTAAGGACGGGAAAAGGACCACAGCTCCCCAGCGGTCAGAAAGAAAAGAAGACCTACATGAGCACGAACTTTCGGAGGTCCGTGCGCATTCCCTGGGTCGGCACTGGACCCCATTGGCGGGCCCCCTGGCGCACAAAAAACCCGCGCGGACCTGGAACATCTTCTGATGATGCCGTGGAAACGTCTTTTTCCCCATGTCCTGAGATAAGGGCATTGTGATTACTTAGACGCATCTGGCGCCTTCCTCCTCCCCCTTAGTTTCCTCACTCACTCTCGATCACATGCAGACTCACGCTCACTCATACTCAGACTCGCGCACACTCAGACTCACTCACACTCAGACCACCTCACACGCACATTCGCGCAGACTCAAACTACCTTTAGAATCACTCACGCTCAGACGGACACACACTCGGACTAACTCACGCTGAAACAGGCTCACGCATATCCAGACTCACCCACACTCAGACCCACTCACGCACAGACTCATTCACACTCAGACTCACCCGTACTCACACTCACCCTCATTCCTCCTCTTTCTCACTCAGGCTCACTCATCACACTCAGACGCAAGCACACTCAGACCAACTCAGATTCATTCACGCACTCTGTATGTATATGTCTTTTCTATGTATATACATATGTTTATGTATATCATTATACCTCTGTCTATATGTCTCTCTCGCTCTCTCTCTCTCTCTCTCTCTCCATCTCTCTCTCTCTCTCTCTCTCTCTCTGTCCCTCTACATATATCTCCCTCCCTCTCACTCTCTCTCTCTCTCTCTCTCTCTT